AGTAGTAGTAGTAGTAGTAGTAGTAGTAGTAGTAGTTGTAGTAGTAGTAGTAGTAGTAGTAGTAGTAGTAGTAGTAGTAGTAATAGTCCAATGAGGCGTATTGAGAGAGCAGAGGATGATGGGAACTTGTTTACCTTTGACTCCTTGTGTGCCTGTAAAACCTGGAGGACCTCTGAACCCCGTCATCCCTCTTTGTCCAGGGCTACCTGGAGTACCTGAAGGGACACAGATCTGTTATCTTTACTGCTAGTGATCAGTAATAATAATGATCCCTAAATCTGTCAGCAATAGTTGACCATAGGCTCTTATTATATTTCTATGTACTGTAACAACTGTAACAATGATTCTAATATATTACATATATTACAGATTACTGTGTGATTATCTGTTGCTATCTTTAGAACTGCAGTATTAGGAGTATTATGGCTCTCTGTGTGTTACCTGGCAGTCCGCGGTCTCCTCTGTCTCCCTTGGGCCCCTTGCTGCTCTGGCAGTATGTGCAGAGACAGAACCAGGGGATCTGGTCTGCAGGTAGGGGGACCGGTGCCTGCAGCAGCGTCTGGCAGTACGCCTCCAGGGCCCCTGCCGGCGCTTCCGTTACGTTGACTACGTCAGGGTAAAAACTGCTTCCGGGGCCGTACACGGGTGGGTAGGGGGGCATCGGAGGAGTGCTGAAGGGGGGCTCCCAGCCTTCCTCGGAGATAGGTGCAGGCGTCGCCGTGACGATGGGGAGGGGAACCGCCATCAGCAGTAAGTGAAGAATGAAGGTCTGCATGGTCTAAACAGAGAAGTTTCCCATCAGCCACCAGTGTTTACATCATTTCTGTCAAACATGATCAACACCGTACAGAACCTGAAACACCCTGAAGTATCTTAAAGTAAATCCTACCGGCGCCCTCACATAGGAAACCATCTGAATGTGAGACAGGTGAGACAGGAAGGTGCACGCTGTCTCGCTCACTGCTGAAAAAATATTTATTAATCAACTTGCCACTGTGACTCAGTCATGCATAATTCCTTCAACTGCAACAAGTTCAATAAAATGTAAATATATATATGTTATAATCAATATTCATGTTTTGCAGTTGTTCCCTACACAAGGAACTGTTGGAACTTCTCAAAGATACACAGCTTCAATCAATCAGCTTCAACCAATCAGCTTCAATCAATCAGCTTCAATCAATCAGCTTCAACCAATCAGCTTCAATCAATCAGCTTCAACCAGCTTAAATCAATAAACTTCAATCAATCAATCAGCTTCAATCAATCAGCTTCAACCGTCTTAAATCAATCATCTTCAATCAATCAATCAGCTTCAATCAATCTATATATATTATGAAAACTTTTGTAACATAATTGTAGTAGTAATTTCATCATTTATAAGTACAGTTTTAAATGTTCATTTGTTAATTAATAATAAAAATGATTGATTTATTATATAAATTGGAAATCTGCCGTTGGCTTCACATGATTATTAAATAAATTAATATATAAATAATGAAATAAATAAATATAAATATTTTACTCACCAAACTGTCGATTCTTTGAGCCTCTCAAACATCTGAAGTCTCAGTTTCCTGCAGACTCACCTGTCAGCTGCTAATAAAACACCTGATGCCCCGCCCACATGGTGCCCCGCCCACCACACACACAGACTCACAGACACACACACACTAATAATATAATAATATAATAATGTAATAATGTAATAATATAATAATGTAATAATATAATAATATAATAATATATTATATAATAATGTAATAATTTAAAATATAATAAAGTACTAATGTAATATATAATAATGTAATAATGTAATATATAATTATGCGATAATTTGATAATGTATGGTGGGTGGCTTTGGCTCAGAGGCAGAGTGGGTCGTCCCCCAATCGGAAGGTTATTTGTTCGATCCCCAGCTCCTCCTGGCACGTGTCGAAGTGTACCATGTAATTTATAATCATGCAATAATGTAATATATAATAATGTAATAATATATTATATAATAATGTAATATATAATAATATATTATATAATAATGTAATAATGTATTATATAATAATGTAGCTGTCATTATTATTTTTACCTGGCTTTTATTGTGAAGGAACCTCAGAGAGTGAGATCATTAGAGGTTTGTTAACATATACTAATGTTAATAAAGCTCCACAGATTTGGTTCCCAGCCTCTCTTTCATGTGTCAGGTGACCTGATTAGAGACGTCCCGATAATACACAGGTGTAACTGTGATCCTGCTCTGTATGGACCGACTGAAGGCCGTCACCGGATCCTGCAAACTGTCTATAGGTGTGACTTTATTAGTGCCGAGTCCTGGGAATTAGGGTGGGAGCATTCATGTAGGTCAGCTGTGGATGGACCTATGTGGTCATATAGAGCACCTGAGCCAGGGGATACACCCACCTGAGCCAGGTAATTCAATTCAATTCAGTTCAGTTTAATTTGTATAGCACCAAATCATAACAGAAGTTATCTCAGGCATTTTCAAATTAGAGCAGGTCTTAGAACGAACCTCCTCCTTATATACATTTACAAAGGAACCCAACAGAACCACCATGAGCAAGACCTCGGAGAGGGGGCAAGGAAAAACTGCCTTTACACGGAGAGAGAGAGGAGAGGGAGAGAAGGAGACACTGTGCACAAGCAACACAGTAGCAACAACTTACCATTTAATAGTAGTGACTGATGATGAACATGAAGAAGGATGATGACGACGACAACATCAACGCATGGGGACAAATGAGCAGGACAATATTAATATTAGTAACTGTAGTAATAATAATATTTAATATAAATAATACAATAATAATCAGTGATATTAGCAATGGCAGTCTAGCAGGACCATTGACAGGAGGCTCCACCAGGATTCCATGAGAACTGCAGGACGATAAAAGCACAAAAACTCCGGGAAGAAGGTGAAAGTTAGTACAGACATGCATTAATGGGAACATGAATGAGTGCAGAAAAGAGAAGATGAAGAGGAAGAGAGGAGCTCAAGTTGCACCATGGGAGATCCCCCGATAGTCTAGACGATGAGACTCATTGATGAAGGAACTTATTGATGATGTGGCTTATTGATGGGTGTTTTTATGTGTGAATCACATCTGCTTGTATGAATGTGTTCTGATCTGACTGAAGTCTGAAACCTGTGTGTGTGAACTGAAACTAGATCCCAGTAAACAGAAAGACTGGATCCTCCACCCTGACCCTGTTTCTGGACACACACACACAGGTTTCACTGTTAGATAAGAGCGTATAGCCTGTATTCACTTTCTCTGAGGAAAGACATCCCGCCCTCCTCTGGGCTTCCTAATATATTTACAAAAAAACTAAATGAACCACTGATCTACAAATCCACTTTTATTTCTGTCATGTTGAGCCACAACTTTTTATTAACATGTGAACTGAATTTCCGTTAAAAATTCCAGAAGTTTCAGGAACAGAAATCACCCAGTTTATTGTTATTATTGTTATATATTATTATTATTGTTTATATTCATGTTTGTGGTTATTATAGTGTTGGAGGACTTGCTGTAATATCAGACTTTGACCACCAGAGGTCAGTAAGCGCCCCTCTTATCTCCTCCTGTGTGTTGTCTGGTCTCCGCCGCTGGGGGGCGCTCCCTCCCCTGGTCCTCCCCGGGGGTCTGATGGCAGGATGGCGGAGGCAGGGGGACCGGAGTCTGCCGCGGTCCGGTGCCCAGACGAGTCATCGGACAGCGAGCCGGAGCAGGAGCCCGGAACCCCGCAGAAACTCATCCGAAAAGTGTCCACTTCCGGCCAGATCCGCAGCAAGGTAACGAGCCTCTAACGGAGCGGGCCACACAGCGCGAGGAACACCAACCAAACTCCACTCTAAAATCTCACACTTTAACATTAACAGTCTTAATGGACACATTACTTCCAATATCCAATATAATTTAGAACTTTTAATTAGTTATCAGGATCCGCTGTGTGATACCGCACACACCACACACACACCAAACATCACTAATGTTCATAATACGTCATCTTTTATAACCGGGTTGGCACTTCTTCCCCGCGTCCCTTCCTCCGCTCCTCCCTGCTGTCCGTCCGACTGAAGCGTGTAAAGAAACGGGCTTTCAGTTGAAATCACTGCTGATTGGTGGGTTTGGATTCTGCCGATTTAAAGAGTGGTTGTGATTGAACTTTTAACGAGTTTAATCCTCGTTTTAATCACACACTTATTATTATATGAGGAATTTGAACTTTAAATTTGACGGATTTTAAACGGACTTTTGATCCAGTGTTTCTGCCTACGAGAGCAAGCGGTGCATTCAGGGGTAAGGGCCACAGCTGCTGCACTAATAATAACATTACGGGTAATATAATTAACAAATATATTATTTCTGTGGGTTAAAACCTAAAGAAGGAACATTGGAAGTATTTATTTACATCGTTGCACAGAAACCGTTAACTAGTTGAAGCTAACCCAGCTAACTCCTGCTAGCCGACGGGCCCGAAGGAAAGCCCCGCTGTTTCCCACCGCGGCCCCCCGGGAGAGGCGGGGGACAGAGAGGGGAAACCCCGGTGGAGAAAGCGTTAAACGGCCGCTTGTACACATAACGGTCCTCAGTGTATTATGATCAATACTAACAGTTACAAGTTATTAAATATCATCAGAAATAATTAACTGTTCAACATAACGGAACATTTATAATAAACTATATGCTGCCTTCAAGAACGCATCAAAAGCTCGGGAATACCAGTGTCACTGCTCTGAACAGTCACACTGTTTACAGCCTTCACATTACAGTTACTAGAGTTAGAATAGTTTTCTACTGTTTGTTGGATAAAATATGAAATCTACATTATTTACTTACAGACTTTATATGGATTTATTTCCACTGGTAGAATAAATAATAAGTATAAACTGATCTGAATCATCTCAGTTTTATTAATTCATTTAGTTAGTAACTCTATAAAGTGAACGTAGATCTGTCATTTTATTCAGGTAATGCTGCGTTGGCGTCAGATCCCCTTTGTGCCTGAGTCAGCGTTGTGGTTGTCTGTCAG